TATATATATATGACACGATCTCACTATATGAGACACGATCTCACTATGTAGCCCAGGCTGGCCGCAAGCTCACATTAACCCTCCTGCCTTGGCCTCCTGAGTGCCCGGGTTAAAGAGAGTCCCACCTTGCCCAGTTATAGCTGCCTTTAAAAATCACATTTTTTTCCCTGTTTTTTTAGGGAAGGGTCTACAGGGTGTTCAGGGTCTCACTACTAGATTGGACTCATAGTAATCCGCCTGTTTACAGCCTCCCAAGAGCTGGGATTACAGGCAAGCGCCACCCACGGCCAGTCTCACATTTTCAGTAATTCATACCACCTATCATTTATTCTTGAAATGTCTCGAAACCCGGAGGGCTGTGGGAAATCCCTTTCCATCCTGGCCATAACTGAAAGCAAACATCTTCTCCTCTCACAAGAATGTGATAATTCCTGTGGCTCTGGCCCAGGTCTGACGACCACCATGTGGCTGGGGGTCCAGGGTACCCTGCTAGTGGTGGGCCCTACCCCCAGATTCAGCGTACACGTCTCCACCTCTGAAAAACACTGACGAGGTGTTTAATTTGCTGAACTTTATTTTACACATTCCCATTCACACATATTCATCACGGACAGAGTCATGAATCCCTAAGACCTGTGAAGCTAGGGACGGACAGCTGCGTGTTCCCATCTCCTCACATCCAGTTCCCTCCTAGGGTTTGTCCCCACACAGCCAAACAAACCCTCAAGGCAGAGGCAGAACTGCAGGCACAAGTGTTCCTTTTCTCCTGTATCTCCAGGGAGCCCCAGCCCGAATTTGAAATCAACCATCCCAAAAAGAATGTCTTAATGTGGAGCCAGTACCGGGCATCTAACAAGTGTTCACATTTTTTTAATCACAAAAAGCCAAGTCAGAAAAGAGACCATAAAAAGCCACAGAGGCTGAGCCTCTAGGGCAATGGGACATCACTGTCACGCATGGGGCTGACGCGGAGCTTGCTGTCACACAGCTGAACAATGGAGGCAGGACAGAGGCACGCAGGTTGTAGAAGGAAGCTTCCTGTCAGTGTCGCCTTGCAGGGCATGCCCAGGAGGACCCAAGTGCCTCTGCTTCCGGCCTTCCTCAAAGTCATGTTCATAAGAAATGTGATTTTATCCAGACAGATGCTAGGCACAACTAGTTCCAGACCTGTATGCAAACGAATGGATCTACAAAACACAAGCGTTCGAACATGACTGCTTCAGATTGTAACATATTTTGAGCTGCCATTTTTCACACTTTCAAATGTACGAAGAAAACAGATTTGGATTACATCTGTGGGCTGCCTTAGGACTTCCCAGGATAGAATCTGGTCTTGGGGACACTGTCCCCTCCCCTACCTGCTCAATACACACACACACACACACACACACACACACACACACACA